CCGCCGCCTTGGCGGGGGGCCCGGGGGGCCACGCAGGGCCCGGGGAGGCCCGCGCAGGACCTGCCGGCGGTCACAGCCTAGGTGCAGGGCCCGGGGCGGATTTTTCTATATTTATAGAAAACTGGCCTTAGATTTTTACAAATGCTGGGGGTAGATAGTGGCATCAGGACTCCGTCAGGGGTGCTGTCTCTGTCTCTCTCCATATCTCTTGTTCATGGAAGAAATAAACTTAGAAAAAAAATAAAGAAATGCTTCTTTTCATCTATTAATTGGATACTTAGTTATTCAGTTCATATAGAGAGGACAGAATAATTACATTTTCCTTTATCATCTGGATAATAATTTGTTCCTTGTCTTCCTTTGATGGTGACTATTTAGGTTTCATTTAATGTCTTATTATGCATTCACAAATTTTTTTAAAAAAGAATTATTTAACTTTGTTTATTCATTTTAATTGACCAGAGAGGGATAGAGTGAGAGAGAGAGCAAAAGCAAGAAGGCAAGCTGCCAGGTCCGAGACTTGAGCCATGGGCAGCCATGTGGGAGTCCATCACCCTTAACCACCACACCACCTGCTGGCTCCATGCATTCACAAATTTTAATGAATTTGATGAGTTTTAATCAACTACAATTAATAGCCTATTGAAGCAGGCCAGCAGGTGGCATTGGACTCCCATATGACTGACTGAGGTTTGAGTTCAGGACCTGGGGTTTGCTTTCTCTCTCCCTCTCCCTCTGGTCAAATTAAAAAAAAATATTTTAAATGATAAAATTAAATAGTTCTTTACAAAAATTAAAAAAAAAATCCTATTGAAGCTTAAATTATTCCAACTTTGGCTAGTGGGAGCCTTTTCACATTGGCCACCGAATGCTATTGACATGACCTGGTTGACTTTAATAACTTCTTCACTGTCTGGTATGACAAAAGTTTCAGGACTACCTTATACATTTCCTGCTCCAGATCTAGAATCAACCATTTTTCTGAAAAGTTCTGGTTTCTTTTAGTGTGGTTTTAGAAAAACCACAATCTGCCTGCTAGGAATATCTATCACTATTGAGTTGATTTTTATTTTTAAGTCTTTCCAGTTGGCAGAATTGGGATTTTTTGTTAATCAAAGTGCTTCATGGGATCATATTGATCCTTCCTATTCAAACTTGGGGTGATACTGTAAATAATTACTAAACAATTAAAGGAATTTTTTGAATATGTCTTCTCCCCATTCTTCCCACATTTAAAAAAGAGGTGTACTGAATCTGCACCAACTGAGTGGTCAGCCACTGTGTATATTCTTTCCTCCCAGCTCTCATTTAGTTTCAGTAATATTAGTCCAAGCGCCTCTGTGTTTAGTACTACCTGTCCTTATGCTGATCTCCCCCTTGTCATTTTGGATGTCTGAACCTCATTCTTTAGATTTTCCAGGAATTGCTCATGGAGACAGTATTCTTGGAATCTGGCATGTTTGTGTTCCTTATATGTGAAAGTCAGCTTTGCTGGATTTAAAAACCTTGGCTCACATTTTCTTTCCTTGAATGCCTTCAATATATTACTTCCATTTTCTTGGTCTGGCATGAAGTGTTGCTGTCAAAAAATGATGATAATTGGGCCAACTAGTAGTATAGTGGTTAAGGCAGCTAGATCCCACATAGCCACCTGCATGGTTTGAGTCCCAAACCCAGTGGTTTGAAAATCATGCTGGGTACATGTGCATGCATGTGAGTGTGTACAAAATCCTGAGAGGAGAACAGAGGAAAAGGGATTGTGGCATGGCCATTCTCCCTGGGGGCTGATTTCTCACTTTCCCTCTCTAGTGAGCACACATGCCCTATAGCAAAGACTAAACAATAAAAAATAAAAATAAAAGGATGATGATACTCTGTTTTCCCCCTTAGAAGTCACTTGCTGTTTTTCCTAGGCAAATAATTATTTATTTCTTTTTCCTTAAAGTCCAGTAATTTTACTGAACTCTATCTATGTTAGTCATCTTGGGTTGTTATTCTCAGGTACACAATGTGTTTTGTCAATATATAGTTTCCTGAATTTTTAATTTCAGGGATGTTTTCTATATTACAACTTTCAATAATTGCTTTAATTTTTTTTCTTCTGGGACTCATATTAGCTATATGTTACAACTTCATTGTCTTCATCATGACTTTCTTTCAAATGCTCTTTTTTTTTTTAAAAAAAAGATATTTTTATTATAGGGTGTGTGCGCTTGCCAGAGAGAGAGACATATACAGAGATGGAAAGGGAGAAATCACCCCCCAGGGAGATAGCCATGTGGCAGTCTCTTCTCCATTCTCCTCCTGGGATCTTGGGCGCACACACACACGCACATGTACCTGGCATGATTTTCAAGTCACTGGATCTGAGATTCGAACCGTGGTCGGCCATGTGAGAGTCCAGTGACATAACTGCTACACCATCTTTTGGTTCCTCAAATGCTTGTTGAAATCTCTTGTATTTCTTTCTTATTTAGAAAACTTTGCTCTCTTTTACCTGCCCCTTAAAAATTTATCTGTTGTGTTTATTTACTGTTGAGTGATGTCTAGTGTAACCTTTATTTTTGAAATGATTTTTTTCTTTTATTTCTTAATTCTTTCCTGAATTCCATCACTTCATTTCTTTTATTTATTTATTTTTTTGGAGAGATTTTCGCTATAGGGCACATGCGCTCGCCAGACAGACAGAGAGAGACATAGAGACAGAAAGCGAGAAATCACCCCTCAGGGGGGATGGTCACACCGCAGTCCCTTCTCCTCCATTCTCCTCTTGGGATCTTGGGCACGCACACACATGCGCCTGGCGTGAGTTTTAAGCCACCGGGTCTGGGACGCGAACCGCGGTCGACTATGTGGGAGTTCAGTGACATAGCCATTACGCTAACTGCTGGTTCCCCCATCACTTCATTTCTGATTTATATTGTCCTTTCATAGCTTAAATCTCCATCTTAATATCTTTTAGCTTATTTTGAAGTAAAAGGTTATATCATGATCTAATTCTTAGGATGTTTTTTACACATGCATTCATTGTCTGTACCATGTTATTCTGCTCCTTCTTTTCTTTTTTTTCCTCCGTAAGTTTTTTCTTCGTTTCATGAGAGAAAGAGAGAACGACAGACACCCCCAACAGGGTCTCTACACCCACATCCACCCCCCATCCTAGTCTGCCCACATCATGGGCACATGTATGTGTACATGCCTGATGATGCCTGATGTGCTCTGGGAGGTCTCAGGACTCAAACCTAGGATCTTTCCTGTGTCATTCTAATTGCATTACCATATTGCCACCATCCACCTCCTTCGCCATTCTCTTGACATTTAGTTTTTGTTTTTGGAGAGATTTTTGCTATGGGGCGCGTGTGCTCGCCAGACAGACAGAGAGAGACAGGGAGACAGAAAGCGAGAAATCACCCCCCGGGGGGATGGCCATGCCGCAATCCCTTCTCATCCATTCTCCTCTCGGGATCTTGGGCACGCACATGTGCCTGGCATGAGTTTTAAGCCACTGGGTCTGGGACTCGAACCACAGTCAACTACATGGGAGTCCAGCAACATAGCCATTATGCTAACTGCTGGTCCCTTGACATTTAATTTTGTTGTATGTTCTGAACATGGGTTTTTGGTTTTGAGATGTAGTCGCACTGTTTCTGGGTTATGAGTTGGAGAGATTAAAAGACTATGCTGTCATAGCCACCATCTGCTCAGAATCCTCTGTCTCCATAAAATTCCAACATTTTAGCCTTAAAACAGTTCCTGTTATCCAGAGAAGAAATTGCCTCTATTTGTAACTGGGGGATAAGAATCCAGGACTCTTTTTTTTTTTAATTTTTTAATATACATTCAATCACATTATTTAGCTTACAAAGTGAACATTTCAATGAGAACATTTCTCCCCAGTCCAGTTGATCAAATTGTTACAGTACATTATATCATCACTACTTTTTGCCAACCAGAAGGTGCTGTCATTGTCCTCTTTCAGCAACATCCATTGTAATCTTCTTTGTGTCAGCACTTTGAGAGATGGCATGGGGGCATTGAACTATTATGGTTTTGCATTATTTGTATTCCTTTTTCTTTTTTTCTTTTGCTTTTTTTGGAGAGGTTTTTGCTATAGGGTGTGTGCGCTCGCCAGACAGACAAGAGAGAGACAGAGAGACAGAAAGCGAAAAACCATCCCCCAGGGGGGATGGCCATACCACAATCCCTTCTCCTCCATTCTCCTCTTGGGATTCTGGGCACGTATGCACATGCACCCGTCGTGAGTTTAAGCTACCGGGTCCAGGACTCGAACTGTGGTCGACTACATGGGAGCCCACCAACCCAGCCATTACGCCATCTGCTGGTCCCTGTATTCCTTTTTCTGAGTGCTGCCATAGTAACTTGGTATTATGTTTAAAATAATGTTTTTCTTAATTTATTAAATAAGTTATTCTGTTTCAGTCTACTTTTCATGGTGTCTACTTAAGCATTGTGCTTTGTCTTGCACGTCACTGGTTTATTCAGCAGATTGTCCTTGCTCTCTGTCGTGTACTGGCCACTGCACCAGAGGCAGTGGATATTGTGGTCATGTGCCAGGCAGGCAAACAGGCATGAGCTACCATGTGAGAAATGCCCCATGAGAGAAAAACAGAAGTGGCATCAGGGACACATAACATGGCCCCTAATTCCTGTTGGGGTCAAGGAATCTGGCTTGGTAGCAGGAGGAGATGAACGAAATTCAAGGTCGGAAAGATGAGCAGTTCCTAGCAAATGACCAGCAGGGATAAGAGGAATCCCAGAAAAGGAACTCAGTGTGCAGAAACACAGGTTCAAGAGTATTAAGACAGAAAATTCAGAAGTATACTAGTAGTTATTGAACCTAATAACCAAAGTAATAACTGAAAAATCAGTAATGCTGTAAGTCAGCTTAGGAGAGGACCCCATGGTTTTATTAAAAATAAGATAACATTCTCTCAAACTCGGAGTTTAAATTTGACAACAGGTGTGGTAGAGAGATAGAAGGTTCTGTAAATTGGCAGATAAAATAGTAGAATGGGTATGTGTATCTATTTTGCTTTAATTTTTATTGTAGGTAGTTTCTCCACTCATTGTTTTGATAGCTCATTTCAAGTTTTATAATAATAAAAGAAATAGAAGTGAGGCTTTAGTTTGTGTTTTAAAATTACTTGAAACATATAAATAAATAATTCTTTTAATGCACTTAAGTGTTTATATTTATTTTTAAATTGTGTTTATAAGCAATAAGGGCTAACTTTTGTATCATATGTGGACTTGCTCTTATTTTTACATATTTTCTATGAAAATTTAATACAGTAAAATGATTTCCCATTTACCAATTCTTAAGGTATTGTCTTATTAGGTTTCTCTATGCAGGTAAAATAAATCTATTAATATTTTAAATATTCAAAGTAAAAATCATAAGTGTGTAAAATGTTTAATTTTTGAAAACTAGGTTGATGTGGGACATGCCCTTCATTGAAATGTTAGTATTGCCTTGGTTTCAGAGCTAGTGCCCAGAGTTTCCCACAAAGGGTTTCCTGCATCTGCTGGCTTTTGCTGATAAGAATCCAGTGTTTAAGCCTTTTGTTTATCTGAGGAAGTTCCTGTTAGGTGTGTGCACATTCCCCTTTGTTTTCAGTATTAGCCTTAGTGAGCTGGCCATCAGAATCTTGCACAACACTATTCTTTTAGCAAAATCCTTTCACAGGTGGGGAATACTTTCCTGCAGATAGGCGCAAACTGATCAGAGCTACTAGTATATTTATCGGACCCCAATGTGGACCGATAAATGTAATATGGTGGAGTTATGTGCTTTTTAAAAATGCTATTTGGTTTTTAAAAATAATACTGTACACACAACTAGATAGGATACTCTGCACTGGCAGTATATTTTTTGGTAACTTGAAATAATTATAAATATGTCTGATTAGGTTTGAGAAGGTCTTTGAAGTGGATGTTTGCTGTTTAATACATTAAACAATTGGGGCCAGCAGGTGGCATGGTGGTTAAGGTGCTGGACTCCCACATGGCCAACCATGGTTTGAGTCCCAGGACTGGGACTTGTTTTCTCACTCTCTCTCTCTCTCTCCCCTCTTCCTTTGTCTCTCTCTGGTCAAATTTAAATAAATAAATAAAGCTACATAAAATAATTCTTTAAACAATTAATTAAACAATTGATGGTTTTTATTTAGATGCATTTTGGTGGTATGTGAATTATTTTCTTTGATGATGTCTACCATATCAAAAGCTTTAAGTGTAATGTGTAAATATTCAAAGATTGAGGCTTGCTGTTTCAGTGAAATCACACCTTAAAAGTAAAAATTATGCCCAAAAAAGTTCCTATAGCTGTACATTGTCATTTTCAACTAGGAAAGCTTTAATAATGCCTTTGAGTTTTGACCCTATACCAGGAAATGCTTTTAGGAAAAACAAGTGACAGATTTTCTTAATTGTGTCAAATAACAGTAAATACTATTTTTTGAACTGTTATCTATATCACCTTTCGTCTGCTAGTAATAACTATTTTCTCTTTGAACATTTGAAAAGGTTTTAATTTTTGAAAATTTATGGATAACTAAACTGAATTTTTAGTATAAGGGATATTTATTACTTGTCTATTTCATTAAAAATTGATACTAGTAAAAATTTTATAAATTCTTATCATGGGAAGAAAGTAGAGGGTGCTTCATCGCTTTAAAACGTTTCAGTTCTGGACCACCTGGTGGCATGTTGGTTAAGGCAGTTAGATCTCACTTGGCCAACTGCACAATTCAAGTCCTAGACCCTGTGGTTTGAAAAAATCTCAGGGCAAGGGCACGTGTTATGAATGCTCAAAATCCCAAGAGGAGAACGGAGGAGAAGGGATTATGGCATGGCCATTCCCCTTGGAAGGTGCTTTCTCATTTTCCTTCCCCTCTCTCTGTGTTCTTTTCTGTCTTTCCAGTAAGTACAGATACCCTATAGCAAATTAAAAACAAACAAACAAACAAAAAATTTCAGTTGTCCAGAGAGATTTCAACAAAACTTATTTCTCATTACAGGCTTTTGAAGACCTCAGCAAACTAATGATCAAGGTATCTATTGTTTATGCTTATTTAATTTATACCAATTATGATATAATGAAAAAATATTTTTAGCAGATATTTTGGGACATTATTTCTTTTCATTCTTCACTTTTCTTTTGACAGGCTAAGGAAATGGTGGAGTTATCAAAATCGATTGCTAACAAAATTAAAGACAAACAAGGTGACATCACAGAAGATGAGGTAAATGGGTTGCTTTTTTAAGAAAGTAGAAACTATTAATAGATTATATAACTAACACAAAGAGGCTTTTGTGACTTACCGGTTTGCTTTCTTACTGCAGTTTTTTTTTTTTTCCCCTCTCTTTTAAGACTTGAACATATGTGAAAGCACTAAGAAAAAGTCAACCATAAAAATGTTGTTAGTTCCAGTAGCAGTAAAGGTTATTTCAATGTCTTTTCTTTGAGTGTAGAAAAAAGATACTGAAATACCTAAGGACTGGCTGTTTTATATATATCCCTAAGTTTGATGTCTGTTTTATTAGATTTGTCTGTAATCTGGTCACAGCCATTTTCCTTTCTAAGTTTTTAGTTGTATCATTTGGTTAGCATTAAGTTTGGTTGGTGTTAAGTTTGGTTGTATCATTTGGTTGGCGTTAAGTATAGCATAGTTGTATGGGCCAGCTCAGTGGTTAAGGGAGCCAGATCCCACATGGCTGACTGCATGGTTTGAGTCCCAGCCCTGGCAGCTTGAAAAACACACTAGGTGTATGTATATTAGTGTCCAAAATCCAGACAGGATAGAGAGATGGAGAAGGAATTGTGGTGACCATGCCCATTCGGGAGTGCTTTGTCCTTCTCCTATTCTGTCTGTGTCTGCCTGGTGGGTGCTTGTATCCTCTGGCAAAAAAGGAAAAAAAGTAATAATTGTTAATAATCCCTTCTCATATCCAACTTTTGATGTAAATGGATTATGAGAGTCGAGGATAGAAGAGGAAAGGAGAATTAGATCTATGCAAGGGACTATTAGAATTCTCCCTTATAATTCACAGCATAAAAGTATAGTAGAAGAATAGGTATGTATATTGAAATAATAGAGTAGAATTGAATTTATGAAGGAAGGATTTCAAATATTGGGCTAGAGAGAATAATTCTACTTAGACTTTTTGTCCATTTTCTTCTCTTACTATAGACCATCAGATTTAAATCCTACCTGTTGAGCATGGGAATAGCTAACCCGGTTACCAGGGAAACCTACGGCTCAGGCACACAGTACCACATGCAGCTGGCCAAACAGCTGGCAGGAATATTGCAGGCACCTTTAGAGGTAAAAACTCAAACCTGAGTGTTCATAAAAAACTATGTTAAATTATTCTCATGTCATCAGAAATCTTAACAACATAACTCCCTGCATGAAGTGGTTAGTATTAACTGACATAGGTTATATTTTCTTTGAAGAATATTAAATTAGTTTAGTATATTTATTAATAATTCTTTGTTCATAGACTTCTAAATTGTTTTTAATTTATATTTCAGTTATCTATAATTTCCTATATATATCTGATAAGTCTTTCTTGTTTTAAAAGGAAATATACAATCTTTAATAGATATATTTCTATAGATCTAATTTTCACTATATAATGTATTATAAGTAATTCCATAATACAGACTCATCTTCTAACAGTATTCAGGCATCAAAAGTTTATTAAAGTACTTGTATTAAGAAATACTTTGGGACTAGCAGTTGGCATAATGGCTATGGCTATGTCACTGGACTCCCATATAGTAGACCACGGTTGTAGTCCCAAACCGGGTGGCTTAAACTCATGCCATGCGCATGTGTGTGCATGCCCAAGATCCCGAGAGGAGAATGGAGGAGAAGGGATTGCGGTGTGGCCATCCCCCCTGGGGGTGATTTCTTGCTTTCTGTTTCTCTGTCTCTCTCTGTCTTTCTGGTGAGAGCATGCACCCTGTAGCAAAAACCTCTCTAAAAAAAAACAAAACAAAACCCCCAAAACAAACATATAGCAAAATTAAGTGATATAATGAATCCTCGTATGGTCAATATCCAGGTTTGTCTATAAACCAGCCTCCTCTCAAAGTGATTTTTGAAGCAAATCCCAGACATCACATAATTTTATCTGTAAATCATGTAACTATAATGATAGACTCCTTTAAATACAACTATAATAGCATTTCATACCTAAAAAATTAAAATAGTTTCATAATACCCTCAAATGTCTATTTAGTGTTTATATTTTCTCTTATAGTTGGTCTGTTCAAATCAAGATTTTCTCCAGTTGGTCAATTTATCTCTCAGGTTGACTTATTTTTAATTCCATGGGTTTCTCCTTCTTTCATCTCTCCTCTCAACTTATCCAGTTAACTTACTGAAGAAACTAGTGTATCCTATAATGTCCCATAGTCTGGATTTCACCATGACTTGTATGTAAGCAAGCTTCCTCGTAAACTAGTAATTAGAAGTACAGATTTATTGTGTTTTTTTTTTCCCCCAACAATGTTTTATACAGAGTATTGGGCACTTCCATCAGAAGGCTCATAATGTCTGGTTGTCTTTGGTGATATTAGCAGCCTATGAGAGTTATTACCCAGATCTGCTACTTTATTAACAGTTGCAAAATCATGATATTCTATTTAATTCTATACTTTATTATTCACTTATTTGCTGGAACCAAAATATTTAAGGGTACTTTTTGAAACATGGTATAGAGTTCTGCTTTTCATTCCAGTAAATGTTAAACCAGTAATGTTAAACTTTGAAATTCCAAATACTAAATTTGAAATGCCTCATAGTATCAGAATAGTTCCTCCTGTGTGTAAATATAGGTTTTTAAAAGTTTCTTAAGGAATTTTCTGATGTCTGATTGTGCTCTGATTATGGTTTCTGTTAGTAAGTACTAACTGTTGCTAATTATAATATATTTTTTTAAATTTCACATTCTAACAGGAACGAGGAGGAATAATGTCACTCACGGAGGTGTATTGTTTAGTAAACCGAGCTCGAGGAATGGAAGTAAGAATAGAATATTTAGATATCCTTTTAACTAAATATAGACTTTTCTTGATTTAATACAAATTCCCCTATAGTGAATACAATTTGAGGAAGGGTTGTGAATATGAAAGCTATTTTGAGAAGCAGTGTGATGCAGTGAAAAGAATTCTGTCCTGAGAACTCAGAAATAGATTCTTTTCTTGGTTTTGCCAGTGATTTGCAGAGTAACCTCGAGTAACTATCAACCTTTCTGGGACTCGGTCTTCTTATCTTTAAAAGTAAGGATTTTGGGCTGAGTAGTATCTTTCAGCCCTAATATTCTGTATTTGTGTTGTGATGAATAAGGTTGTACAGGAAGCCCTTTGTTCTTGCACTAGTTAACTCTTTCAAATGAAATCAGTTGGATACAGATTGCCTTGTAGATAATGTAGAGGGAAAGCCACCTGCTCCTTTGGCTGTGCATCAGCAGTGGCTGTTCTTCCTCCCAGATATCCTTGGCCTTCAAGGTCTGTTCAGGTGCTCGATGTGCCCCAGAAATCAAATACGGTCCCTTGGTGTCAGCAGTCACCACCATGCAATGATTCACATGTGTGTCTTTTCAGCCCTCATCCCCGTCTGACAGGTTAAGCCTCTGCTCTGTGTTTTTATTTGAGTTGTCATCATAACTGCCATCACTGAGTTCTTACTATTCATCAGGTGCTCTGTATGTGCTACCTCATTTATCTCCCCAGTGACTCGGTGATACAGCTATTTTTACTGTCCCCCTCACTCCCCACTACAAGAGATTATTTGGGGACAAGGACATTGAGGCTCAGAAAGATGAAATAACTTGCCTAAAGCCACACCTGGAGATAGTGGTTTGACTGGGATTTGGACTCTAGATGAACTGGCTCTGGAGCCACCCTGTGTGGCTCAAAGTTGTGCTTGTCTCCACCACACTGTACTGATTTGTAAGGCTACCCTGACCAAAAGCAGAGCCACGTGGGATGACTATGAACTTGAAATGTAGTTAGTCTAAATCAAGATGTGTTTTAAGACTTAATGAAGTGCTTTCTTCATTTTGTGCTTTAAGTACAAAATGAAATGTCAGCAAAATGAAGAAATGTCAGCATCACATTAATAATTTTTATACTGATTATGTGTTGAATTGGTACTATATTCAGTTTATTGGCTTAAATTAAAAAATATATATGTGTGTGTTAAAATGAATTTCACCTGTTTCTTTTCATTTTTTAAATATGGCTGCTGTAAAATTTATAATGACATATATAGCTCGCCTTATACTTTTATTTTAAATTTCTTCCTTTGTTTTAGTGGTTATTACTTACATAGCCTCACTTGATTAACGTGCAGTATAAACTGAGTTTATTCCCCCCCCCATTAGTTGCTCTCACCAGAAGATTTAGTGAACGCGTGCAAGATGCTAGAAGCACTGAAATTACCTCTCAGGTAAAGAAACCTTTGCAGGATGTTTGCTACCTGTAACCACCATTCTGCATGGGTAAATGGGAAAGCCCAGCCAAGATTCATCCCTAAGTAGTGAGCCAAAATACTGCCCTCTTGAAATTATACTATATATGACCAGAATTCATTTGGCACCACAAGCATCTTCTGTCATCCCGGCTTTCAGCCTTATCAGGGCTGGGTGTGTCCTAACAGGGCTAGCAGTCAGATACTTGACCATTCAGGAATGAGATAAAAATGTGGGCTTTTCCATGAGGTCAGAGTAACAAGTCCCTCTTCCTTCCTTCTAAAGACCCAGGAATGCAGATGTTCAGCTGTGAATGATATTTTCATTATTCTTAATGTTAGAATAAAAGCAACTGGACATATTTTATTTAGTCTGTAGATTATAGTTTATAATTTTATTATCAACTCATGAGCTCTTTAGTTATGCCATAGTTGCTTGTGGTCATTATGTTTCAAATGTTTTGTGTTAATTTTGACCCCCAGAACTGAACATAAAGGAGGGTCAAAAATATGTACTCCTCCTTAGTTGTTGAATATCCTAGATGCTTCATGGCTTTGTTCTCAATCTACTTTTTAGGCTCCGAGTTTTTGACAGTGGTGTCATGGTAATTGAGCTTCAGTCCCATAAGGAAGAGGAAATGGTGGCCTCAGCCCTGGAGACAGTATGTGAACCCTGCTTCCTTTAGTCACTAGAGCTTGCAACGAGGCCCTGGATGTTTAGCAATTTGAGAAAAAAATTTCCTTTGAATTTAACTTGACTAAAAAGTAACATTCAGAGGCCAAATTAAATATGGTTTATCATTAACAAAGAATAAATATTAATCAAGGGATCAGCAGACGGGATAATGGTTACATTACTATACTTCCACATAGTCGACTGTAGTTTGAGTCCCAGACCGGCGGCCTAAAACTCACACTGGGCACATGTGCGTGTGTGCCCAAAATCCTGAGAGGAGAATGGAGGAGAAGGGAATGCAGTGTGGCCATCCACTCGGGGGGTGGGGGGGTGACTTCTTGCTTTTTGTCTCTGTCTCTTTCACTCTCTGGTGAGCGCATGTGCGCTATAGCAAAAATCTCTCTTTCAAAAAAATATTAATTGAAGTCATACATTAAAAGCTTTTTGAAATTTACTGACACTCTCAACATCTTATTAAGGAGAATTAGAATTAGTGAGGTACTGTCTTCTCTATTGAAGCTCAGTGTTGAGAATTGATTTTTAACTTTGTTAATCAGAATGTTACATGTAACTGAATGTTTTCCTCAGCAACACCAACATAAGCCACATTATAAAATATCACAATTATTTTGCAAAATCATTGCTTTAAAAAATATAAGTGACTATTCCGTAGCTGGAGTTTACTGGCCAAATTGCCTGTACTACTCATACTTGAAACAGTGCAGTCTTAGTAACCTTTATGGTGAGCATGTATAATTTGAATAACTCACATTTATTATACTTTGGTTTTTTTTGGAGAGGTTTTGGCTACAGGGTGCGCATGCACTCGCCAGAAAGAGAGAGACACAGAGACAAAAAGAGAGAAATCACCCCCTAGGGGGATGGCCATGCCGCAATCCCTTCTCCATTCTCCTCTCGGGATCTTGGGCACACACACGCACCCGGCGTGAGTTTAAGCCACCGGGTCTGGGACTCGAACCACGGTTGACTACTTGGAAGTTCAGCGACATAGCCATTATGCTAACTGCTGGTCCCTATATTTCTTATAGATATTTCTACCACATATTTCAGACTAAACTTCTTCCCTGGAGCATGTGGTATGAACTCAATCAGAATTTGTTGTATGTTCCTTTTTAGTATATTGAGTAATCTTTTTAGGTATTAGTGTAGTGCCCTTATAGAGGGATTCATTTTGATATCTGAGCCTCTACTATATTTGTTCTGTATTACTCAACTTTAACAAAACTTTAGTTTAAGATTTAGTTCAATAGTGAATATTCTTTGGGTTTTAGTAGAAAATTTAGCATTGGCTGTTGTATAATCTGGCCTAAAGATTAGTACCTGTGTATCCTAATTAATCACATTTTTTCTGCTGTGTGCTTCTGTAAGGTGTCAGAGAAGGGATCCCTAACGTCAGAAGAATTTGCTAAGCTTGTGGGAATGTCTGTCCTTCTGGCTAAAGAAAGGTAGGGTAGATCTCTTACCCTCGGTTACAACTCATGTTTGTGTTTCTAAATGGACCAGTAATTATGTTTTATTCTCTTTATTCCTAGGTTGCTGCTCGCAGAGAAGATGGGCCATCTTTGTCGAGATGACTCAGTAGAAGGCTTGCGATTTTACCCAAACTTATTTATGACACAGAGCTAAGGGTTTTGTATTTGAAATTTTTTTTCCCGTAGATTTGATTCTATAGAGGTTGTATGACATCGAGCTAAGAGATAAACCCTCATAAACTGAAAATTTATTAGAACTTCATAGTGTAATATAAAATCATTTAAATTTATCTCTAAAAGTATGGTCCAGGAAGCTTATTTAGAATACATATAGGAAAATACAGAAAAACAAATGCCAATCTGAATTTCAAATCATGCTTTCATTATGTGGAACCTTCATAGTTTAACTTGAAATATGGTGGATTTTAACTTCATCTTCAAATAGAACCATTTTGTAAAGAAGGGAATTAAGTTCTTGGGGGAAGAAAAAGAGAAGTTGCATGTTTGGGCAGGTTAGATTATTATTTTGTGTGACTAAAATTCACCGAATTATAAATGAAGTTGTTTTTGCATTAATGTGCCCATTTTGGAGGGTTTTTGTGAAGGAAGTCATGTAATTTTAAGAACCTGACAAAACTGGGACAAGGTATCAAACTGTAGAATGCCTTAGGAGCTTCCTCCTAAGGGCTTTTAGAAAGAGTCTTAGGCATGACTTCAACAGAGCAAATAAAACACCTTTAAAACAGGCGGAGTTTTATTTGATATACGCATATATACTCTGGTTAGTTTCTGTTTTTAATGATTTCATGATTGGTATTTAAGGAATGCAGCTGTATCATTTTGTTTCAAAAATTCTGTGGATTTTGAAACTGAGTCAGAGACCTGTATAGACATGCCTAGAGTTAGGATCACAAATTTGGGAGGTAGATAGCTCAGGAATTCCCTAGTATTATGTGGGTGGAGGGACAGGGAACTTTTAACTTTCATAGGAACCTTAGTGTTCTTTTACCTCAAAGCCAGGGACAGGAAGTAGAAAATGGAAAAGTAGTGTCTGCTTTTCTTTCTCTTAAGGAGTTTCAACACTGAACTTTAAAAAAATCTTTGTATCATATTCCAACTATGTGTGTGTTTGCCCTACACATTATAAATTGTGTGGAAAAACTCAGTAAAAAGTGTTACTGAGAAAACAAAACTGGCTAATGTTGCATGGGAGAGTGCTTAAGTTTCAAAGTAGACCTCCTGACTTTATATGTTACTGCTTTACAGCACATTACCTCAAACTCAGGGACCCCACAGGGCAGGAGACTCTTTCTGAGACTGAATTGGCAGTGGAAGGGGAGTGATGGTTTTAACCAAACCTCCGGAAGGGATAGTATCTGCAGTGGGAGAACCATTGGAACCAGGAGGGGGATGCCCACATTCGTACTCTGGAGGCCCTAAGAAATTTCTCCCTGGGGAAGGTGGAAAGCCACTGCCAGAGGCTGTCATGCCCTCTGGAACTTACCAGGGATCCTTAGCTGCAGATCCAGGGGATTACCAACCCCTGATCTCTGCCTGTGAATTGGCTGTCGCTGCTTCGTATCCTGCAGTGTCATAGGAATGCTGTGGCTGAGGCATCCTTTTTTGACTTTATTTTCCAAACTTGTCACTAATACGTCATTGTGATGACAGAATCTCTAATTCCCCCATTGCGCAGCCTCAGGTTTATTTTGGGGCTAATCCAGTGTCTGGCTTGCCCAGTCTGTTAGGGGTTAATTGGACCACTGTGTAAACTTGTTTGTGTGTCTTGCCTCTCTCTGAGTTGTGCTCACTCTCTCACACTGCTTTAGCAAACTTGTACGTGCACGCATGCACAAGATCTCATCTAGTTAGGTTTTTTAAAAGTTACATAGATAAATTGTATCTCAACCAGTTGGAATGAGTTGCAAGTAAGATTGTTGTAGCTACTGGATCTAGCCCCAGTGATTCGGGTTCATTACATCAAACCTGCAAAATTCAATATACTTGTTTACTTTAGCGTGACAACAGATTAACAAAAAATGGAGCAGTCTAAATGGTATAAAACAAACTAAAGAACAAGAAAAGTGACATATGAATATACTTTGCAAACGTCATGTTAATTTAAAAAACAAGTACAATTGATTTTATTATTTTATTTTTAAAGTGGGCATTCTTTACTGTTTCCAGACCTCTGTATGTATTTTTATTCTTTTTAATTTTTTTGCCAAAAAGATATTATTTTGGTCCTTATTGGCCATGGTTATGTTTAAATACAAGCAATCAGGCCCTAAGTGCAAAAAAGTTCTGTCATGGTGCTTATCATTGATATTAGTATTTTTGCTTCCCTAACTTGCTCTTTCGGGCATAAATCTCTTTATAGCTTTATGGTTATGGAATATTTCTAGTCACTGTCAAGGAAAAATTTTTTACATTGTATAAGTGAAGATTGTTTTCATGGTTAATGATTGGTTTTTAATGTATGAAATAAAATTACTGCCAAATATTAAAATGATTTTTCCTAACTTGGTGTTCTTTTTCAATATTCTCTGAAAAAAATATGAAAATGATAAATCTTTATCAACATAAACCTTAAGCCAATATGTTAAGAATTTTTATTTAAGACTTTATAATCAAGATTGCTTAGAAATATTTATGACATCAAGTTCTTTTACTTTTTTAAAAGAAATGAGTCATGAGCCTTTTCTTTTTAAATTATTTTTCATGTGAATTCCACTGTTGATTGTATATATTTATGTAAATCTACTGTCTCTGAATCCTGTTACTAGACAAATCTGAACAGAACATGGATTCATCATGTCATCATTCACATGTTCAAATACCTAAAGTGGTTCCCTTTTGTTCAACAATTTCAGACTCTTCATTTTGGTACAGCAGAGTCAGAACTTATAAAGTATGTAGGTTTTAAAGACTGTGCCTAAGGGCAAAATCTAGCATGCTCAAAATGATCTTTGAGAATCTCTTAAATTGTCAATAAAATTTTCTCTATAGTCTTACATTTTGAATTCCTGTGATGTGTAGGGCGAATATATTGTGCATATAAAAAGTGCAATATATAATAACAACAAATCAATAATAAATTTTTATAGCCTTCATAATTACACTATTTAAATGTGTGTCTTTTTTTGGCCAATAGGTATGCTTGCATTTATGTAAATTTATTGCTAATCTCATCCCTTATGATAGATATAGAATGTAAGTTCTACAAGGGCAGAGAATTTTATCTGGTTTAGTCATGGATGTATCCGCAGAGCCCAGAACATGGCCTGGCATACAGTAAATGTTCCATATTCCCTGAATGAATGAACTCCTATGTTTATACCTATTTATAACTTAGCTCCACTTTATCCTAGTTTAACTTCCATTCAATTCAATTAAAAGGAAAAATATTTTGAATAGAAATTGACTCAGGAACTTTGTGGGACACTGCAGGGAGGGGTGGAATACAAAGGTAAATAAGCTACAGCTCTGCTCTTAAGAAAGACAGTAGTCCAGTGGGACCAGCAGTTGGTGTAATGGCTATGTTGCTGGACTCCCATGTTGTTAACTGCGGTTCTAGTCCCAGACCCGGTGGCTTAAACTCATGCTAGGTGCATGTGCATGCGTGCCCAAGATCCCAAGAGAAGAGTGGAGGAGAAGGGATTGCAGTGTGGCCCTCCTCCCTGGAGGTTATTTTTCGCATTCTGTCTGTCTCTGTCTTTCTGCGAGCGCACATGCCCTATAGCAAAAACCTCTCAAAAAAATAAAAAAAAGAAAAAGGAAAAAAAAGAGACAGTAGTCTTGTTGGAGAAATAGGCATGTAAACAATTTTCACTGAGGATGGAATGAAGGAAATGCCATGGAAGGGGCATAGGGACCACACTGTGGATAACAGAAAGGAGCCTTTAGTTCTGAAGAAGGGCTATGGAAGGGCTTTGTGGGAAAAGAAGAGCCTGGTAAGCAAGGCTCACAAGGACTATCAGTAAGGAGAAGGCACTGGGTCAAGGGAGGAGAATGAGATGAGATGTACCCTTTCCTGTTTCTGCCACATTCCCTTGTCTCTCCAGACTTGACTGTTTTTTGAGAGTTTTTTTTTTTTGCTATAGGGCACGTGCACTTGCCAGAGAGACAGTGAGAAATCACCCCTCAGGGAGGATGGCCACACCACAATACCTTCTCCATTCTCTTCTTGGGATTTTGGGCTTGCACGCATACACGCCCTGTGTGGGTTTTAAGCTGCCAGGCCCAGGACTCGAACCATGGTCTACTACATGGGAGTCCAGCAATGTAACCATTACACCATCTGCTGGTCCCTGAACTTCCTTTCTTATTTCTTCTCACTCACCCACCCCCCAACCATACTAATCCAAATCATATTTGGCACAATTCCACCTGCTCTAGAAAAATCTGATTCCAGTGCACCCCTTTACTATTTCTAAGCTATTTATGAATTATTGTTCATTCCATGTATTTTAGGTTATAGTACTGTGTTGACTACCAAACCAAAGTCTGTATCTTTTCCCCTCTTCCCAAGAGGCTTCTAATCCAGACTTGTCCTGGCTCAGCCTGTCTCAGCTCTGTTCTGTCTTATTCGGATTCCATGACATGGGCCTTATCCATGCTGTGGGAAGCACTCCAGAAAAGCTGGGCTCACACATACAAGATCTTGTTATTACAAGCTGCTATAACAGTGTGAAAACTGGGTCCTTCAGGTTCTTCCCCATGTTCTGATATGAAATGAGTCAGCTATATCTTTCATTCCAGAGTAAAACCTACGGAAAAAAAAAAAATCTTCATTTGTATAAAGGGAGATGCTGAAAGAATGTCTAAATTTTACACAATTTGCAGTAGAGCAGTTGCTGACCCAGAAGGGGAATTCAAGATGTCTTGAGAGCCAATTAGTAGTTCAATACTAACAAGACCATGCACTGTTCTTTTGAAGTGTATTCTTATGTTATCTTTTATAAAAGATTTAACTAATTACACACACACACACACACATTTTTGCCATAGGGCACGTGTGCTCTGGAAAGAGACAAAGACAGTGAGAGGGAAAATGAGAAATCATCCCCGCAGTGGGGAGGGCCAAGCCATAATCTCTTTTATTCTCTGAGGATAGTGGGCATCCTCACGCATGTGCCCAGTATGATAAGTTGCCAGATCTGGGACTCAAACTAGTTGGCCATGTAGGAGACCAGTGGCTTAACCACCATGCCACTTGCTGGCCCCAGTTTATATCTTAACTGTCTGATAGACAGTAATGCAGTTTGGCAAAGATTCTGATTAAAAATGATCAAGTTTGTCAATAAAACTGTTATTTGAGAAATCACAATGGCCCAGCTGTGATAGCGCATGCTGACACTGCTGCTTGGCAGGCAGAGGCCACGTGGGAGGCCCTGGTTTAATTCCTAGGCCTGCCCTAAAAAGCTAGACCCAGTGGTCACACCTGTAGTCCCAGCTACTTGAGAGGCTTCGACAGAAGAGTTAAGACAACCACCTGTCTGAGATAACCGCCCCCGACGACGGGAAGAAAATGACCAAGCACACTGATACAGCCATTTGTTCCTGGGTTTAGCTCCTCCCACCCCAAAGAGTGCCTTTGGAAGAGACCGTATATCTGAAGGATTAACTTAGAACGAGTTGCCTTCTACATGTTTCAGTTAATCATCACAAAACTACAGCAGAGAGAAGGAAATATTAAGTATTTACCCAAAGTTACAGAGGCAGAGCTGGACTTAAATCTTGGCTTTAGCTAACTCTAAAGCCCACTTTTCTACAGAGGTTTTACTTTCTGAACTGAAAATGCTCAGAACTCTGACATCTATTTGAAAAGGAATCCCACCTAAGTTGATGAATGGCTATTAGGTTAGATAATTCTGTCAGTGAAATAGAAAGATGGCCACAAAGCCATATAAATTTTGGATGGATGTTTAACAAGCATTAGGAAAATTGTTATCTATGATGACTTGTAAATAATTGCACTACCTTTAAAAGATGAAGCAGTAGATTCAAAGGTCTACAAATGGCATGTGTTTTATTATTTTTTTACTTTATTTTTAGAGGCTTTTGCCATAGGGTGCATACACTTACCAGAGAGAGACAGAGACAGTGAGAGGGAAAGTGAGAACCCCCTGGGGGGATGGTCACACTGCAATTCCTCCTCCATTCTCCTCCTGGGATCTTGGTCATGCATGCACATGTGCCCAGTGTGATTTTTAAGCCACTGGTCCAGGACTCAAGCTGCAGTTGGCCATGTGGGAGTCCAGTGATGTAACCACTATGCCATCTGCTGGTCCTTGTGTTTTTATTTTTAAATTTTGCTGTAGGGCACACATGTTCACCAGAGACAGAGAAAGTGAGAAAGCATCTCCAGCAGGGAGAGCTACCTAGCAATTGTCCATTCTTGATGTTTTGGGCAAAGGTGCACATGTGCCTAGCATGTTTCTCAAGCTGCCAGATCCGGGACTCGAACTTCACCGTCACCTATGTGAGATCAAGCCACATTAACCCCACCATGTCATAGGCTGGCCCTGGCATTTTTTTTTTTTCTTTTAAGGGTTTTGCCAAAGGGCTTTTGGGGCTGGGGAGAGTGAGAGGGAAAATGAGAAATGCCCCCAGGGGAGATGGCCATGAAGCAATCCCTTCTCCATTTTCCTCTCAGGATTTTGGGCACACATGCACATGTGCCCAGTGTGATTTTCAAATCTCCAGCCTGAGAATCAACTATGGTCAGCCACATAGGATAGGAGTCCAGCGCCTCAGCCATTACACCACCTGCTGGCCCATATTCAAGCGTTTTAAAAGTTGTAAATTTTATGAACAGTGACATACCCAGATCTTCAGTTGGGAGAGTTTTGACAGATAACAGTAGATCAATGTGAACACCCCTACCAACAGAACATTTATTGTCCCCCAAAAGTTCTCTGGTGACTCTCCAATCCTGAGGCCACCACTGTGCTCTGATTTCTACTACCATATATTCGTTTTGTCTTGTTAGATGGTGTATTTTGGATAAAAGGAAATGCTGAACTGTGTTGCACATTACTCAGTATCGAGCACCGCTGTTAAGGTGGAGGCCATCCTCATCTTCAAGAGACAATCGTTGTATTGCTTTTCCGATGCTTAGTTAAGTGAAACTTAAGTAAATCAATTCTGGCTTCTGGAAAGAAAAATGAAGATGTACTTTACCAGAGAAGTGATTAAAGTGTCAGGACACTGCTGGTTCGCCCTCCAAACCCCAGGTCCTGTGGATAGGCTGTGGTTGATGTGTTGGGGCATCTGCGTCTCCAGCGGCCGGCGGTGCCTCCTCCCCGGGACCCTGGCC